TAATGTTATATTATTAATGCATGTGATAACACAAAAGAAAGAAAAATTTGGCTTTTTCCTGTTCCTTGTTGTACTTGAATTAATTAATTTATTAAATTAAATTAAATTAAATTTGCTGCTTGCTTAATAATAATATTATTAATTGATTTTTTAAATTGTGGAGTCCGACGTCATTTTTTTTTTTTTTTTGGTAATACACGTTTAAAAAAGAAAATTTAACGACAATGAAAATATAAAAAAAAAATAAAAATGATTAATTAATTAAATAAATAATAACGTGACAATTAATTAATTAATTAATTACTTAATAATAATAATAATGAAAATTGCCTTAAAAATTTATTTATTTATTAAAAAAAAATATCAAAAATTGTATTTTAATTATTTAATTTTTTACGATAATAATGATGATGATAAAATGATTTTTTTTTAATTTAAACGTTTTTATTTTTAATTCATACACATAATTATTTAATAATCATATATATTTATTAAAAATTTTAATTAATCATAATAATAATAATAATTATTATTATTATTAAAAAATTTAATCTAGTCTCTCTTTCGATTTGATGATGATGATAATGATGATGATTCGTTCGGTTTAATTAATTCAATAAATAAATTTAATTAATAAAATATAATTAATTATTTATTTATTTATTATTATTTTATGTATTGAGAAAATGTTTAAATGTCACGTGATTGAATTTAACAAAAAAATTTAAATCTGAGTATTATAAAATAATAAATTTTTTTTTAATGTCTCCGTAGTTAATTTTTTTTAATGTCATTTTCATTGTCGTTGATTTTTATTAAAATAAATAATAATAATAATAATAATAATAATAATAATAATAATAATAATAAATTTTTTTAATATAAAATGTTACGAAAATGGTGCATTTATGACAAAGTAGAATATTTAATTTTAAAAAAAAAAAAATTATGCACTTTTTTTTTGATAATGTATTTAAAGAGTGAGAGTTTTTTTTATCATTATTATTATTATTATTATAATTATTAAATTTTTTTGCCTTTAATATTATTATTATTATTAATTAACTTAATTAGATGTGAAAAAGTAAAAACAAAATATGGTATTTTTATTATTATTATTATTATTATTATTATATTTCATTTATGTATTTATTTATTTAATTAACAAATCAATTATTAATTGTTAATAACGTAATAATAATAATAATAATAATATTTCTTAGTTAGAATGATGGTTTTAGAAAATTTAATAAATTTTAAATATATATGTATATGTATTTCCGGAATTAGAACGATTATGTAGTCATCGAAGGCGCGTTAAAAAAAAAAAATTAATAATTATTATTATTATTTATTTATTTATTTATTTAAATAAATAAATAATAAAAATGTTTAAATTCAAATATATATATTATATGTATCAGATCGCATAAAAAAAATAATAATAATAATAAAATTTTAGTAATTGTGACTGTTAGACGTAAATTATTTAGACTGCTTGTATAATATTAATAATAATAATAATAATAATAATAAATTGCCAAACGATTCTTTTGTAATTTTGGGGAGGGGGAGGGGAAGGAAAAAGGGGAGATCCATGTTTTTTTTGCCAAAATAAAAAAAAATAAAAATGAAAAACTTTTTTATTTTTTGTCTTGTACATTTATTAATAACATTATTATTATTATTATTATTATTATATTATAATTAAAAAAAAATATTTTTATGTACTTATTGGAAATAATAATAATAATAATAATAATAATAATAATAATTAACGTCTGGTGGCACTGCCCGAATAGATTTCTTATAAAATTAGAATTTCTATATAAATTAGTTTTTAAAATAAATAAAAAATTTAATGTGCAATTATTATTATTATTATTATTGTTTTGTTTTGTTTTCGAAATTATGTAAATGTTATTATTATTATTGTTATTATTATTATTATTATTATTCACTTAAGCTTAATGATAATAATAATAAAATAGCTTAAGCCATTGGTGTAAAAAAAAAAAAAAGTAATAAATTATTTAGTCGGGGTAGAATTTATATGTATTAAATTATTATTATTATTATTATTATAACAGTTAATATAAAAACAAACAAACCGTTACTAATTAATTGGTCAATTGTTTAAACAATTTAAAATGGTTTTAGATGTTTAAAAAAAAAAAAAAAAAATGTATTTGATATTGTTTTGTTAATAAAGGTTGTTGTTTGTTTTTTTTTTTTTTTTTTTTTTTTTTTTTTTTGAAATTTGTTTGGGAAGCAAATTATAATTAAAATAATAATAATAATAATAATAATAATAATAATAATAATAATAATAATAATAATAATA